ATCTCCCCACTCCCTCTCCCCCAACTCGTTATCAGACTCCACCACTGTCAAGCTCTCTGGGACGGTACCCTGCACGAAGGGCGCTATATAAATGCAAGTTAAAATACTTGTGTTTTTGCATATTATTAAAATACCCAAAGAGTTAACAAAAGCAAGAAGATTAACATCACAGTTAGGGGTGTTATACCTGACCTTGTGTCCCTGCACAGATTTATCTGAATGTGGTTAAGCAGGAAGGAGTTCTGCAAACAATGATAACGTGTGCAGTGCAAACGTGATGCCAACAAACAGGGTAATCTAAAGGTCATGCAAACTAGGTCATGCAAACAGGGTGACCAAAAAGTCGTGATAACTACCCTATTATCTAAAAAAAATCATAATTTCTTCTAAGACTTTTTGGACATTGTAAATGGTATCACGATTTTTTGGTCACCCTGTAGTTTGGATGCCTCATCTGTCCTGAGTTCCTTGACTCAGGACACATGAGGGATCAAAACAAGAATCTCCTGATTTGCATCACAGAATAACATAGACAATGCTGTGTGCTCTTGAGTATATAGTGCTCTGCATGTGAGGTAGAGTCTCAGAGCACTTAATAATAATCTGTGCATCACGTCATTGAGACGTTTCAAAGCGCCTCACAGAATATATTTTAAAATGGATTGATGAGCGAAACGTGGCAGCGAATTACGAGTAGCAGCATCCCACAAACAGTCGTAGATTGAGTCATAGTATGGGGCAAGGGGGGAGGCACAGTCAAAGAGGAAAGTCTTCAAGCATCACTTAGCGTCACTCTTACCAAGCGAGCCACGGAGGCAGGCCTGCACCGTTTTAAAACATTTTTATTTTATTTTCCGATTGAGAAGCTCAAATTTCCTCATAGCCTTGGCCTTATTACCGTCTGTATTTTTAAGATTGGTGCAGAATTTTGGAAAATTCTTAAATTCAGATTTAATTTAGAAGTTGATTTTGTCTTAAGAAGAGAATAAATTACTAACTTGAGAAAATTTTAAATATATTAATAATAATCCTTGCATTTGATATAGCGCCTTATCATATTGTTGACACGTCTCAAAGCGCTTCACAGGATATACCCTGTACTTTGAAGTGGTTTACACTGGCTTTTGTGAATCTGCACAATCTTAAATTTTCAGGCATTGACTTTAATTAAGGTTGAGACTTCAGTTTGGATGTGGGAATGTCATTTGTCCACTAGGCTACCCTGTTTATTGGCATCATGTTCACACACACACACACACACACGCATCATTATTTGCAGAACTCCTTCCTGTTTAACCACATTCCGATAAATCTGTACCGTCCTTTGCTCTTCAGTCACAGGATTCAATTTCAACCAATATGAAATTAACTCCAAAAGATTTAAGAAAACGTTTAAATCATTTTTACGGCATGTGTACAAGTGCAGTCAAGTGTGTGTGGCATGTTAATTTGTGACACTACCTTTTGCAGTCTATTTTAAATGATTTTATGTTTTTTTTCTCACTCTTTGCTTTCCCCTTTTTACACCTTGTGATGTGTTTTGTTGATGTGATCCGGTATGAGTTTTGTGATTAAATGAGTCACCTTGTATAAGTAACAGTACTAATAAAATAGCCTGATGGGTTAACAAAAGCAGGAAGATTAACATCGCATCACCAGATACTGATTTGACGCCATTAGAAATTTAATCCACGAAGAATAAATGTGAAGGGAAGTGGCGTTACCTAACGCAACAGTGGATTGAAGGCAAACCACTATTAATGTTGGGTTTTCAAAACTCTTCTTCTCTTGGGAATTTTGTGCACAGCAAAGTGGAAGGAAGTTGGCACTGAGAAACGGAACAGTGTTACGGCACGGAAACTGGCCGTTCGGCCCAACTAATGGTGTCAGTATATGCTGTACAAGCCTCTACCCTACTGTATGCCTCTAATCTCTTCTGTTTTATGCATACATCAAGTTTTTATTCTGGACTCCGGTGGGGCTGGGGGGAGGGAGGTAAGAGAGGGGTTTCTTAGAGCCAATTTGGCAATGGAATGTCAGAATCAAGCCAGCCCTTTGTGGCGGTCTCTAGTCCAGTTCCTGAGCCTGGCGGGTCCGCAGTATGACAGCACAGCCAGCCTGGATCATTGGCAGGACTTGGAAGGGCAGACCAGTCAGCTCCTGTTAACCCTGTAAGCCAAAGCCCTAACAGGAAGGGTGGTCCTAGTTGGACAAGCAGTAAGCAAGCTTACCTGACGGTGCTCTTAATGACAATCTATGTGGTTTCAGCAGTTCCCCAACACACATAAAAATATACAGTCAATTCACTTTATAGTATATTCTGTGAAGCGCTTTGAGACGTCTCAAGATGTGATAAGGAGCTATATCAAATGCAAGGATTATTTTTTCTTTCCATGGATCGGGAGGTGTGTGTAGATTTGAAAGATGGCCACAGGGAATGTAATTCTATTTGAAGACTGAGGGTGGGAGTTATGGTTGGGCAGAGCATCTTTACGTTCCTGATGTGAATAGGAAATTCGGTAAGAACTTTTGCTGCTTATGTTGAGGGAAATATTAAATGGGCTATCGTATCGTTAGGTCCATCGATATTGGATATCACTCTTCGCTTGATCTTTTCAAGACTGAAATAGGATGAAATAGGATAGCTGCCTGCACAACTATTGAGAGATTGTGCAAACAATGACATGGTTACGAGAATGAATGGGCTTTTACACAATTGGAAATTTCAGACAGAGTAGAGGTTTGCAGTAATAGCTTTGGTCTTTGGTACAAAAGCAATGATCTTATTATAACTCCCGAAAATTGTTTAATACAAATTGAAAGTAAAATATAATGGATGAACGTGATCACTCACTACCTGCTGTTTTTGATATTAGTCGGACTTGTGTTGAATTATTCATCGTAGCAACTTCAAATGTCATTTAATTTATTGTCAGTTATTGTATTTTGTTGAAATTGGTAATATATTTCTCAATCTCTAAGTGTTTAAATACTTCTTCACATAAAATTATCTTCTTCCTCATGTATGCATCAAATTAATAATAATAATACGTGCATTTGATATAGAGCCTTATCACATGATTGAGACGTCTCAAAGTGCTTCACAGAATATATTCTAAAGTGAATTGACTGTATATTTTCTGGGCAAAACACAGCAGCCAATTACGCACAGCGGTCATGGAATAGTGCCCAAATTATTATTATTTATTTATTTTGGTGGGATTATTACCCCTGTAAAGTGATCCGCCAATCAACTAACAACCGGGTTCCTACCTACTGCTAGGTAAACAGGGGCCTGTGGAGTAGGGAAACTTGCCTAAGGTTTCGCCCTGCCTGGGAATCTACCTTGATTTATTGCAACATGAAACCCTATTTCTTCAGGGTCAGTTCAATTCAGATTTAGCTGACTAACTTGCGCACTTCCCAAAGTAAAATATTTTTAGACATGGCCCCACAATTGCACCTAGTCTTAATCTGCAGGACTGTTTTGTCGTTACATTTCAAGATTGTACAGAATTGGGTAAAATTCTTGAATTCTACTCGGTTGCAATTTGGAAGGCATTTTTTTTATTTTTGCAGTTCTTAAAAATATCTGTCTTTCAAATTAAGGCTGAATCTAGCTGGAATTTCAGGACTGTGACACACTTTAAGTTTACCTCAAAAGAGTGAAGAACTGAGTTGACATCAGGAACCAGCAAACATCAGGATTTATATCAGGGTTCAAATCAAGATCCAACAATTTCAGAGGGAAGTTAGGAAGACCAGGGCACTGGACTGATTTACAAAACAGCCTGATGCTATGCTACAAATATGATAGTGTGGATAATCTGGAAAGATGACATCAAATGGGCCAAAGGGCCTTCTTCATCCAAACTGATCTTGTGATATTGTCTATGTGCCAAGTTATCGGGTCATTTAAAAATCTCAGTTTGTCTCAAGTTTTATATTATAATGTAATAATCCTTATAATTGGTATAGTGCTCTTCACATCAGGAGGGCACCTCAAAGTGCTTCACAGGATATAGTCTAAAGCATAGGTACTGTATAGTTTGTAATTGGATAGAACAAATGAAGAGGAAGTTTTTCTTTACCTAAAAGGGTAATTAATGAGTGCAACAGGTTGCCAGAAAGAGTGGTTGAGACCAGAACACTAGAGACTCATTACAAGAAACAGCCTGGTGCTGTGACAGAAAGATGGTAGGGTGGGTATTCTGGGAGGATGTGATCAAATGGGCCTTCTTCATCCAAACCAATCTTGTGATATTCTATATGAGCCAAAGTATCATGTACTTTAAACATCTTAACTCCTGCAGTTTGGCTCGAGTTGTTACATAATAATCCTTACATTTGATATAACGCCTTTCATGCAGGGAAGAAGTCTCAAGAGTAGTTCACGCTCTGAAGCAGGTCTCCAACTAATTGATCCCCGCTAGGTGCTCCCTGGAATGCTTAGAGAATGAGCGATATCTACTGCCGTTTAGACAGTAAAGTTTATATTTTAATTTCAGGAAATAAAATGAAATACTTGTACTGCATTCTGGTTGCTTTTTCAATTGGATTAAATAACCACGCAGTTCTATCGTTCCCTCTTTGGAAGGCCACCTAGAGGCAATTGACCAGAGACCTGGTGGAGACCCTTGCTCTAAAATGTAACGACTGTGTAACTTGTAATGGGATATAAAAAATCCCCAGTCTTTGGGACTGTACATCTTACATATTGTTACTTATAAAGTAGTGTTTGGGTTGATGATGCTATAAAACACATAAGAAAATAAGAATTGCTAGATGAAAGGAGACCAAGGTCCATCCAGTTCGCCTTCCACCATTCTGGCAGTCGCATGCACATGTCATATCCCATTCTATATACTCTATCCCCAAATATCTATCCAATTTGCTTTTGAAAGAATCAATATTTTTTGCTTTCACTGTCTGTCTCCCTAGGTAGCCAGTTCCATACATTCACTACTCGCTCACTGATCTTTTATTTGTTGTTGTTGCAGCAGATGAAAACTCCAGAGAGCCGGTTTTCAGGCCACGGTGTGACTCCGCAGTACAGGATGCATACCTACTACCCCACTGCCTCGTATCTTGGCCAGGGCTTGAGCACGGCTGCTTGTGTCCCTCAGCTCTTCACCCTGGAAGATGGTTCCTCTTTCTCAGATGTTAAATCCAATGGTAGGTTGAAAGTCTTCTCTAGTTGTAACGTTTAAAAAATCTGTATTGATCAAGGTGTGTTTTCTGAATTTGCTCACATTCGGTTCACTCACATTTGTAGGATTCACCCACTTTGGATTGCCTATCTCCAATACACATCTAAACCTTTTATTCGGAGGCGATGAACTTTGCGTTCATCAAGGTAAGGCATGTTAGAATTGGGAAATAGAACATTTTCCCCCTTCTGCAACTTTCTGTGGCCCAAACCTTAAATAGCACAGGTCAGACGCAGGTAAACTATCCTCTACTCAGCCCCAAAAATGTGCAAAAAAAGACTACCCCTTCCAACTCCACCTCAAAAGGCTAATCCTGCTGCACTAATATTTCCATCTTGAAAACCAGCTCCTGATCAACTTCATACCAAAATGTTTTGGACTTTTCCCTGGGTTTTGTTCCTGTGTATTGTGACAGGCTGAGTGCAGTTGAAGTAACAGTACAGTGAAGTTTTCGTGCTGGCTTGTTCTTTGGTAAATGTGATCTGTTGACGTTTTCAGAAGTAATTCACCGTTAGTTTACAAAAGTGTGATGTTAAAATCTAAGGAGTCTCAAATACAAAAGTACAAAAGTTCTATTGGAAAGTAAACATAAAATTGTGAGTTTTTTTCCATCCTGATCATTCTTCCCCAATCTGAATCTCATTGACTTAGCAATAGTAACATTCCGTTTTTTAGATGTAACTAAACAACCACTTGTTAAACACATCACTTTGACCACAAATAACTTTTCACTTTCCAGAGAAAACCTTCACTTAAAATTTGACCTTCTTATGGGGGGTGGGGGGAGCTACTAAAACAGGAGGAGGCCTGACATTTCACTCAGTTTAGCATTAAAGGCCATTTAGTCATACATCGCTAAGATCAGGCAGAATATTGAAAACTGGCTTCCAGGATACTTTAATCCTAGAAGCCAGTTTTATACAGTTCTTAAGAGCCAACTTCCAAATTTAAAACTGAATTTAGGAATTTTCTAATGTTTTGCGCAATGCTAAATTTTAAGACAAAATAGGTGAAATTTCAGGTTTGGGTTTTTTTTCTTCTTAAAAATGAAGTTGTGAGGTAGAGAAAAAGTAAATAGGGCACTTGAACAGATGTTTCATTAGATTTAGTGTTTATCAACCCACCAGAGCTATCAATGACTTAGAGAGTTGGGGGAATCATTACTTAGAATTGGGACTATACTAAGGTTAAGACCAAAATATAAATTGAGAGGTGCATAAACCCACACAAATCTAACTAATCAAACCACTGGACGAGCTATCTATTGGATATTCAGTAATTAATGTATTTGCGTTTTCAGTAGACGTGATAAAATTCCACATTTAAAGAAGCTCAGAGAATTAACAGCAAAATAGTTAGCTGGATTGAAAATTAGCTTTGTCAGCGGGAAAGGGAAAAGGCTGATGAATGGAAAAAGCTTAATCTGTGGGGGAAGTGATTCAATAGTGTTCTAGGGAACTGTTCTGGGTTCCATAGTGTTCACACGATTTATAACTAATGTTTACAGCACATCATGGTGATCAGTAAACCTAATCAAATACAGTCAAACCTGTTTTCAGCAACCACTCAGGGGCTGGACCAAAGTGGCCTTTATATAAGTAAGGATTTGTTGGTGGTGTAGAAATTCTAAGTGTATAGAAAAAGACCCATAAATCAAACTTGTTTTCATAAAGCAATAAATCAATCACAAAATACAAATCGTTACTGTTTCCATGGGCCAAAGTTTCCACGAGCCCACGTGTAGACTCCCGCTAGACTCCTAGTGCATGCCAACGCTGCACTGAGCAGCCCACCGGACCAGATCTTGACCCTGAAAAGGGAGTCAGTACACTGATAAGGCTAATAAAGAATGGTTGTGTTAGTCAGGTAGTTGCTGAATAGAGGTGGTTTATTATGGAAAATCGATCAGGACTGTTCCAGGGTGGTTGTTAACCGCGGGTGGTTGATGTATAGAGGTGGTTGCTTTAACAACTTTGACCGTACTAAGATATATCTTTGAAGACATGAGTCAAAAAAGTTATATGAGGTGTAAGTGTACTATGCTTATATACTCAGACTCATCCCAACACTTGCCAGTTTTGAGACCAGTGTAACATAGGAGTTTAGCAGGTTTTTATCTTTCAGTTATGCCACGAGCCTGGCTGCTTTGGTGGTGGCAGGGAGAAGAAATTTTTATTCACTTAAGTTTTAAATATCTCTTATTAAAATATGTACATAACCATCCCTCCCCCCAAAATGTTTAGATCGTTTGTTTCCGAGAGGCGAGAAGGAAAAATGAAACTGAAAATGAAAAGGAAAACAAACTGTAAAAAAAAATTGGTCCCAATGGAAGGCAAATATTAAATGTGGTTATTCTGTGCATTTTGGAATTCCCATGGGTATTTGTGCTAAATTCATAAAAATGTTATAATATGCTAGGAACCAGGAACTTACAACTAATAGATGGGGGAACTGACATCCCATCAGTGAGCTGTGAGCTCTCTGGGATACAACAAAAACTTGAATTTATATAGTTCCCCTCACGCAGGGTAGCTTGACAGTGATAGGCATGGTCGAAGTGGAAGGTCTTCAGGTGCGACCTGAAGAAGGGGAAGGAGGAGGCAAGGTGGAGGGATTGAGGAAAAGTGTTCTTGGTTACAGCTAATCCAAGAGGTGATGCTCCATTTGTCCAGTGTCTCACTGCAGGCATTTCTATAAATATTACTTACTCTGTAAAAGTAGGTTTACTGAGAAATGTCAATTGCATTTCCCACTTTGTTGACAACCTAACAAATGCTGATCAAGTAGTTAGTATATTGATTGAAGCCCATTTAATGTGTATCAAATTCTCATCTTCCATTCTTCCACTCTCCACCCGAACAAATTGAGTTGTGACGGCTTGAGTTCTATGTGTGAAAATATTTTGCATGTGAAAATGTGTTTTAAGTGTGAAAACCTGTTGTACCGCTTTGCTGTTCGACAAGTCAGTACTGTGCACTCCTCATAAATGTAGAGTTTGCTTTCTGCAATGTTTAGTTTGCTTAACCTGAGACACACCCTGTTCACTTACTAAGGGATTTGGGTCAGATATTCAATATAACTGAAGTATCTTGAATTTGAAGTTTTGCTTGTTCACCTTCATCACCTACCAAGATAAAGGAACCCCCACCCTCAATTTATCTTATGAGAAATGTCACTTTTAAGTTGTGTGAGGAAAGGGTGTGCAAAGTGCCTTTACTCTGGATATGAACTATGTCGAATAGGTGTGTGAAGATGAACAATAAATGCTTTTGCAATGTGCATTGTGTGTTGGTCTGCAAGATTGCACATTTACTTGAGAGTCACCATCGCTGGGCCTTGGCACAAGTTTTCATCCAGCATCAATGGGCTAAATTTCAAAAGAATAGGTGTTTGATTAAAGCAGATTATGCATTTACGTTGAGTGGACTGTGCCTTTGAAGAGGAATTAAAGATCAGTGGTGAAGTCATTCCTCTTGATACATTATTTATTCACTCCGTTTAAATCTTGTGAGTGTTATTCAAGTTTCTTATTCCTCTGGTTGCAGCACTCATCTGAGCTTGTTTTTTTCCTGTAGAGATTAAAGGGCAAATTGTATCATTGGCATAGAGTTGCAGTGTAAAGCCAGATTGCTTTTTGCCATAATCTGTAATAGATGGATTTGACACAAGAGCAAGATTTCTGAAATTTCTCCTGGTTTTAGCCTTTTTTGAGGGGGTCAGTCGGGGTCTGACACATGCGGAAACCCATCACCATGCTTAAGAGTATCCAAACCAAACTAAAAATTCCATGCATCCCACCTACACATGGAAATTCCAGAGATATCTTTTGGAACAGAATGTGCACACTCTGGAAAGTATTAGGTGCAGGTTGGCAAGAATCGAGGCTTGGGGACCCCAGAATATGTGTTGCGGTACTGTTGGACTGTAACCAGCTAAAACTACTTAGCTTGCCATTGAGAGTACTACCTGGCAATCTTTCCTACTACTTGTCCAACTAGGACCATCCTACCTGTTAGGGCTTTGGCTTACAAGGTTAACAAGAGCTGAGTCGGAAGAATCCCTCCTCCCCATTGACTAGTCTGCCCCATTAAGTCCTGCCGATGAGCCAGCCTGGCTGTGCGCTGGAATACTGCGGACTGCTTGACTAAGGAACCGGACTACTGAGACCACCACAGCGGGCTGGCTCGATTCTGACATTTTGTTGCCAAATATGTCACCTTGGAGCCAGTTCAGCTCCCGCGAGATTGCGCTTACCTCCCCCCAGCAGGATAATCCCAGTTGGCCATTGGACATCTGATAAGCGTGGTTTTGAGCCCCCAATAAATGGATGGTAGATACCAGGAACTCCCTGCAAACTTCCTAGTGGGCAACACAGCTGAGAATGAAATGGTGAGAGCATTGCCGCCATCTTCCCATTGAGCGATGGTTCCACCAGTTAGAGGTGCAGTCCCAGACAGTACACTCAATGGCAAGCTATGCAGTCTTAATCTTAAAACCACTTCCTTAAAAATTAAGATTATTAAGAATTATGGGGAGAAAAATTAATTTAGACTTTGGTTGGAAGATTGTTTTTGTTTTTTGGAAGATCTTTAAGAATTTAAGTATTTTCCAAAATTCTGCACAATCTCAAAATTTTAAGATCCTGGTCTTCAGGCTTGTCAATTCAATATTCAATATTCAGGCTTGTCAATTCAATATTCGAGTGTTAATTTTTAGCAAAGATAAAACAAATTGGCACCTCATACTATTTGGGCCAGAGATGGAGCCCATAGATATGATCAGAGGAATAAGAAACAATCATAAAAGATTCACAAATATCTGAGGGGGAGGGGAAGAGAAGTTGTGCAATGGAAGAGAAGACTTACTGCTGCTGTTTAATTCCACTTTGACAATGTTTCTAGCGTAAGTTAATGTGTTGAGGATGCACACATCAAAAAAGAGCTTTAACTGGTAGAACTAAGAGTCTCCTGTCTTGCTATAAACATGTGTATTTAGGACTGGATGACGTGGTGGGTTACCATTTACCTCCGGGACCCGGGTTTAAATCCAGCCCACATTAATAGGTGACGGTTTCCTCCCTCTGCTGGCTGTTAGGATCCTATCTATGTGTGAAATTTGGACAGTCTCGACCCAACTCCTGTACTGG